TGGCCTCCACCCTGGTAGCGATGGCCTCCACCCTAGTAGCGATGGCCTCCCCAACACCCTTTTGTTTAGTTTCTCCAATTTCTTGGTGTTTCCAAGGGCCGAAGTCTCCTCTTCTGCGGCTTCCCCGGTCTCGGCATCCGATTGTCTGGAGTGTTTGGTTTGTGCCGCCTCCGGTTCCACCTGAAGAAAACTGAATGCCATATATTATATAGATCATGTATAGTATTTTATAGTGTTTTGTTTTGTTTGTAAATAATATCAGGCACCTTTTGCTCCGCGAACTCGGATCGCCAGGGAAAAATAGACGGGACCTCAAAGTTCTTTTGATGGACAAAGCACGGAACAGGTTTCGGCTTGGGCTCCCGTGCATCGGCTGACGCTGTCAAAAGCCGAAAAAGGGCTGGCAATTGGAGAAGCAACCTCGTTAAGTGTCCCTAAAAATCTAGGAACCAAATGAATAGCGCGAACGCTTATTGAAGAAGCGTGAACTATCCTGCATCCAGTACGTAACAGCTACTTTGTCCTGTACTAACTATCTATCTTGCTACTAGCTACCTAGCTACTGCCTACCCCCCGGCTAAAAAACATAAACGACGGATGGCCTGGGAACAAGAATAGAAAGGTTATTCAGAAGTAGAAGATGTGTACAGTCACATCTGGGTTTTACAGCATCGCTTTTATGCAGCAAGATGCTACAAGTATACGTGCAAACGCACGTTTCTAGAGTTGCTGCTATGGATGTGGGTAAGATGAGACTCGTGGACACCGCCAATCATCCGGCTCCCCGGCAACAAGCCGAGTTCACGCCAGCTTGCTTTCAACCCCCAATGGCACGGCCTCACGCAAACGCAGTTTCCACCATGCCGCGCAAAACCGCATGGCAGAGCGACATCACCGACGGAATTTGGCCACACCGTATGGCCACGCAGTGTGCAACAAACTAGATACAACAGGTTTAATGTAACGTTAGTGGTGGGTGCCGCCAAGTTGCCAATTCTTAAGCCATACTGCTTCCCGCTCTTAGAAGCTGCTTCCTGCACTACAATTTGTACGTCCAAGTGGCCTTCTTGGCCAGAGCTTCCCGCCCAATATTTGCACTACCAAGTTCGCATTTCGATGACAATTACACACTTTGGCAACCTCCGCCTTTGTTTTTGGCGACAGTTACGCCCTTTGGCAAATTAATGTACCATCGTTTTCGACGACAGTTAAGCACTTGAGCAACCTCCACCTCCGTTTGCGACGACGTTACACATTACCAACTTCCAGCTTCCGGCGCCATTTGCGACGACAGTTCCACACTTTGGAAACTGCTGCCGTCAGTTTCGACGACAGTTGGCCAAAACAGAATTCGCAGTCCCCCACGCGTTTGAGCGCTCGATGTGCGCGACCTGCGCAGAGGCTCACGTTTCTGTCCGGCCAGGCCCCCACCTAGGAAAGAGATAAGTAGCTGAAATATATCGCCCGCGCACGAACAAAGATATGTTTTACTCTGTGTTAAAGCATATGCTTATTTTCGCATATGTGCCTACTGAAGCACAAGACCCCAGCGAAGTTATACTTGTTCTCCAGATAGCGAAGCTATGGGTCACTGCTACAAGCGGCAGGTTGTCACCCTTCACTGTCAGAAGCGGCGGTCGTTTTCACTTCACTGTCAGAAGCGGGCACCAGTACCGAGCACCGGCACGCCAGCTCACGGCGCCCAGCACCAGCACCCAGCACCGGTACCCAGCACCAGCGCCCGGCACCCTGTCTCCACCACGTGCACAGCCGGCGCCCAGTCTCCACCACGCGCACTGCCAGATCACAGCGCCCAGTACCAGCAGCACCAGCACCTGCTGTCTCCACCACGCGCACTACCAGCACCCTGTCTCCACCACGCGCACAGCCAGCTCACAGCGCCACCAAGTGCACAGCCAGCTCACAGCAACAGCACCAGCACCTGGCACCCAGCACCAGCAACCTGTCTCCACCACGTGCGCAGCCAGTCAGCTCACAGCACCAGCGCCAGCACCGGCGCCCGGCACCCAGCACCAGCAACCTGTCCCCACCATGTGCACATCTCACGGCACCAGCGCCAAAACCGGCGCCTAGCACCAGCGCCAGCACCAGTAACCTGTCTCCACCGCGTGCGCAGCCAGCTCACAGCACCAGCACCAGCGCCGGCACCCGGCATCTAGCAGCGGCACCAGCAACACCACGTGCACAGTGCACAGCCACCTCACAGGTCCAGCACCAGCGCCAGCACCCGGCACCCAGCACCAGCAGGGCCACCAACAGCCGAAGCGCCAGCAGTCATGGGCCGCATGAACTTGCGCACGCAACATCATACGGTGTGTCGCATTAGCGCTGTGGGGTATTTACACTCTTCAGGTTCTGTTTTGGCCGACAGCTGTGTCAACCGCTGTACTGCTTGCGCGCGTACTTTTGACCGACCATTGTTTCAGCGTGCTTCAGCATGCTACACACACAGTAGTCGTGCTGGATACTGCTTGGCCTTGGGCGAGTGAAGCCTACGGGCTTTGCCGTTTGTGCGCATACTTTTTGCGCGCATAAACTTATACGCGCAAGATCATACGTTGTTATTCCCCAAGTAGGGATAGCTATGGTGTTCTTACTGCAAATACGAATGAGCTGGGCGCGCTTTCGAAAGGGTGTCGGAGCTGGTGCTGGTGTTGCGGTCCTGGGTGCTGGTGCTGTGAGCTGGCTGAGCGCGCGTTTAAGACGGGCGGCGGCGCTGGACGGGCGCTGGTGCCGCTGCCGGTGTTGTCAGCTGGCAAAGCGCACCGGTGCTGGTGTCAGCTGGTTGTGCGCGCTGTGGAGGTGCCGTAAGCTGGCTGTGCAGGCTGCGTACATTCTTGTTCCAGCCAGTCGCATGTCAACAGGTCGTGGGATTCTCTGCCTAGCTATCTGGGTCTTTGCGGGTGTAATAGTGATTTTACTTAAGCAAGGCGAGCATGACAAAAGTTATCCAAGCAAGATCCCACCACCGAAGCAACTCACCAAAGCAAGATCCCAGCGCCAAAGCAATCCACCCAAACAACATCCCAGCGCCAAAGCAGTGCTAGCGTAGCAGAGCTCTACACAATCATACCTGCAAGCTGCACATGCACTTCCAGCATACCTATTGTAGCATACATACAACTGCAGCTGCATAAGTGTATTACCACCTCCCTAGCAGCAGGTCTAGAAGACCACGCGCGCAAGCTGCAGATGTACTTCTAGCGTGCATACCATTGCTGTTATGGTAGAAAACCACATGCAAGCTGCAAATGTAGCTTATAGCACACTTACTTATAGCATACATACCAATGATTACCAATGCCACTATGAACAAGCCAGAAAGATATAAGAAAAATATTGATGCAAATGCGTTATGCAAAAGATTTCTACAGAAGAACCCTTCACAACGCTCCCGGGAAAAATAACTTTTCGATGCAACGTAAACCGCCCAAGTTGCCACAGGAGGCGGCCACACTCGCAGAAAAATCCACCCAGCTTCTCACCCTCGAGAGGCCGAGTTGTCGGCCTCGGAAGTCGAGTCGAGTCGGAACAACGAAAAACAAAAAATATACATGCAAAAAATTGTAACACATGTTCTGTTGCTTTTTATTTGTATTGCTAATAGAAAATCATATAGATCATTTTACGTTTGAAATGTTCTCTCCAAATCTGAAACATTCAAGCCCAGATCGCACGATGGTCTCAAATGTTGTACGTCATCTGATTGAACATGATTGAACAAATGTGAGAGAATGAAGACTGTTCCATTGTAAGCGCAAGCCTTTTGGGTAAACACGTCTCCTGCGAGATTCCGTCCAGCCATTCCACCTTTAAAGGGCTGAGCTTCAGGCATAAGGGCCGCAGCGACATCCTCCAAATACGCCTCGCGAAACAAAGGTCGAGAACGGTACAAGGAGCGTAAGAAGCAAACATCAAACCTCAGCCATGGTGAATTGATGGTTGGAACATGTTGGAACAAAGGATCAAAACGCAAACCTCTGATAACCTCTAATCCAGTAAGGCCTGCAACCTGATAGCAATGGTTTCCACCTCCATGTCTTTTTGCTTTTCTAAACACCTCGATCTTCAGGGCTCTCAGAGTGGCCTCGCTCAATGGCGCGCAGAAAAGGAGCATGGCGCCCGACGCAACCAGCAAAGCTGCAGGCATCGCCATCTCGAGACGAGACGGAAACAAAATGCAAACGGGAACAACATACACCGGACCATGAACCCCCAAAAATTGAAACAGGTTTGTGGAGGCTATCCCTTCTAGGTTGGAGGCCATTGCTATTAGGTTGAAGGTCTAATAACCTCTATTCTTCCAGCGATGGTTTCCACATGTTTCCACTTTCAACACCTCAAAGCACTGAAAAGCAAGAGTTGAACACCAATGCGGCTACACTAGGAAGCCCTGCAGCAAAGGCTTGTGTGGCTTGCTGCCGATATAGTCCTGGCAAATCTACACCCTCCCTCCCACAGTCACCAACACAAGTAAAAATAACACCGGCGCCTGAAGCACTTCCACAGAAACCAAGACCCAGGGCAACCAAGGCCATCAGGATTGGCAGCGAAGGCAACCAGAATTGGTTCACAACCTGGCGGTCGCGCAAACACAAAGATCAGAACAAAGTCAATGTACGTCAATGGCACAGTTCATGTGTTCTCTGAAAATTTGATGGCAAGTTGAAAGTCCAAGCAACAAGCAAAACACAAAGTCTCACAAAACGTGCCAAAAGCACCAAAAGCAAATCTCCAAAAGCCACCGCTAGCCTGCGAGGACTCGGTTCAGTTCTAGACGCATGACGCGCTTCAGGAAAGTCGTTCTGAGCGTGGGAAACACACCAGCTCAAGGAGGTCCGGCCCTGCGCCAAGCAGCAGCCGCAGGCCGTCTGCCCTAAGCCGTCTCTCCCAAAAGTCGTCTGAAGTGCAGTGAGGAGAATCCCAGCCAATCATCCTAGCGGTCCTAGCCCCTAGATGCATTGCGGCTTGCCAACCAAAAGACCAGCGCTGGTGGACGCTGTTGATACCTCTGAGGCTGAAAAAAGAATCCGCTGTTTGTGCTAAACCATGCTAAACGACTTGTTTTTTCCCTAAATAGCTACAAGCTATAGGATTTCTTACTTCTCGCTGTGGCTCTGGATCGTATCGTTTTGCCCGAGCTGGTGCTGGTACTGGATGCTTGGGCGCTGGCGCCCTCTGCAGGGTGCAGCTGCTCTTGTCGCTGCAGGGTGCAGCTGCTGTGTGCACTTAAAACCTTTACGCAGGCTACCGCTGCTGTGTGCGCTTGGCAGCTTGGGCGCTCTGGCCCTGCAGGGTGGTATTGCCAAGCGCGCTTGGGAGCTTTGGGCGCTGCCGGATGCAAGGCTCGGTGCGCTTTGGAGGCTGGCGCCGCTCGAGGCTGCTGCTGTGACATGTCCTTGAGTGCTGGCACTGCTGGAGGGCGCTGCAGGGTGCATCTGGGAGCAAGGACGCTACTAGGGGCTCCTGGCATCGCTACTAGGAGCAAGGACTACTAAGGGCAGGCTCCTGGCCTTACTCTAGTAACAAGTAGCTATTAGGGGCCATCGCTCTTAGGTTGGCCATCACTCTTAGGAGCAGCTCGGTGTCTGGAGTTTACGAGAACTTGGTCAAAGTGACGAAGACCGACGCGATGTCCTAGAAGCGACTCGTGGCTTCTAGCTACTAGTAACAAGGTGCATATTACTACTAGTACAATGCGCGTGTCACTACTAGCGAAAACACAGTCTGGCGCCACCATTGCCACCCTCCTCTACCAACCGTTTGGTGGCCAGCTCACAACGGAAAAATAAGCTTGCAGCCCTTGCCAAAGGAAGGCCACTGCAATGACCAGGGTGAGGAGCCCTGCAGCATCACTTTTCGGCCAATTTCCACTGGCTCGGCAAATGCTCGCTCCCTCGCTCTCGCTCTCTCTCGCTCTCTCTCTCTCTCTCTCTGTCTCTCTCTCTCTCTCTATCTGTCTGATCAATTTCTGCCAAGTGAGGTCTTGTCGGTCTTTTCTTCGTTTTTCTTTCTATTTCCACCTCTCATCCCTCTCTCTCCCCTCTCTGTCTCGGGGGTCTTAGCACCTGCAAGCCCCACCAGCACTGCTGGAGGTGATCCAACCAAACGCAGAAAATCCTGCAGCGTCGCTGGCGCCAGGGTGCCAACAGCCAGAATATCGCGCAGCCCTACAGGCGCGGTCTAAAGGTCTGAAAAAAAAAAGAAACGCGACAAAGAAATATCCGTGCAAAAGACCCCAAACAGTGTGTGTGAGGTCTGTAAGCAGAAAGTCTAGAGATCTAGACGCATTGGGTCCAGAGAGGTGATGGTGGTGATGAAGTGAAGGTGGGTGTGAGTGAGTGAGTGAGTGAGTGAGTGAGTGAGAGTGTGAGAGAGTGAGCATCGAGCACAAAGTACTGCGCCTGACACGAAATCTGCACTTCGAGGTTCACCATGCGCTGTGCCTGCCACGAAATCTGCACTTCACAATGCTCACAAAGTGCTGTGCCTGCCACGAAATCTGCATTTCGAGGCTCACCAAGTGCTGCACATGCCACGAAATCTGCACTTCACAATGCTCACAAAGTGCTGTGCCTGCCACGAAATCTGCATTTCGAGGCTCACCAAGTGCTGCGCATGCCACGAAATCTGCACTTCCAGGTTCACCAAGCGCTGCGCCTGCCACGGAATCTGCACTTCGAGGTTCACAAAGTGCTATACCTGTCACGAAATCTGCATTTCAAGGTTCACCAAGTGCTGCGCCTGCCACGAAATCGCACTTCGAGGTTCACAAAGTGCTGTACCTGTCACGAATTCTGCACTTCGAGGTTCACAAAGTGCTGCGCCTGCCACGAAACCTAGACATCCATATGTACCACTAAAACTGGTACATACACTCATTCGTACAAGTTCTGGCATTTTCACGCACATATGGTTTTTTTTAACGCGTTTTCACGCCAAAAATGTTGAAATGATAAGTGGGTCTCATTCCAAAAAAGAGTGCTCCACTACCAAGCTTGCAAGCTAAGAGACATGACAGGCCATGTGCATGTTTTTTGTTCCAGTGCTAGCCAGGATTATATGTTCTCAGCTCAGCCATGCAGTACTTGAGCCAAAAGAGCTACCAGTTAAAAAATAAGTTTAACCATGTTTTGTTTTCTAGGGATACCTATACACACTCAAACCAAACCCTCCAAACCACATCCAAACCCCAAAAACCACCCACCAAACTGGCCAGCCCTCACAGATTTTTCTTGGCTCAACGTGCGGGCGCATTGGCCAATCGGAGCTTGGTGTGGAAGCCAAGGATGAAGCGCCGCAACGTGTTCTCTGCAGCTGTTCTTTTGTGAACCATTCGGGATATACGCATCCACTTCTTCATGGCATCCTCATCCATCCAGGTTGAATTGAGAGTGCAGTTCAACCTGGATGGTCGCTTCTCATTGACCAGGTGGTACAGCAAGTGGAATTTGGGTTTCAGCCTGTAAAGCATTTTTCCACCCTCCAGGGCACGGACTGCAAGATTGAGATAGCTCTTGAGGAATAGATTCCCCACATGAAACTTGTGCAACTCTTCAGCTTCAGTGAGGAACATCTCCGCCTTGCTCAAAACACGCAGCCAACTGTCAGCAGCCCAAAGTGCACTGGCCAAGAAATCATCTCCACAATCCTGCATGGTCACCTCCTCAACCAGCCATTTCAACACAATGTACGTGTCGTAGCCCTTGCATTTGATCTCCGGATATTTGAGAGATTCCCACGTCAGATTTGATTTCGTTAGCTTCTTGAGTGTCAAGCTCAACTTATTTTGGCGTGCAAAATCCCGCAGTCTCCCAGTGGCAACCTCCAAGCGCGCATCAATGCTGGAACCAGGCCACAGACCTCGTCGTTGGCTAGCAAGAACACGAATAGCAGAGCCGCACAAGTCCCTGCCCACGCCTAGATGAAAGGCATGGAGCAAGTCAATCGACAACATGCGCAATGTAAAGCCATCAACATCAGCCAGCGATGGTCTCACAGACCAGGGGTCTTGCTGATATAGCGCGCTCATCCAAGGTGAGTCTTCATTCAAATTTGTAAAGCTCCACTGCACATCCTGAGAGCCCTTTGTGCATAGGCACACCCAGCAGATCTGCAGGGTGAACAGGGTAGACGTTGACAAACACACAAATCAGAGGACACAACATCAAAAGAACACTAACCGCCAAAACATATGTTTTTGGCCCAACTCCTCCTCATGGGTCGCATAGCGTTCCAGGTTGAAGGTTTGCTTCAGGAATTTCCAATCCCCAGTAATGTGCATGACCCAAAACTTGGGCACACATACCTCACTTCTTTCATACTCAAGGTTTCACCCATCAACATTTACTGTACCATAAAGCTCGCACCAAAGCAAAGCTTTCTAAAAGAGCAATGAAAAGGCTGAGGTGCACATTCACCAGTCTCATGGTCAACCAAAGGAACGCCATCTCTCGACAGTGCGTTGAAGCTTTCTCGAATGGCAGCAGCAGCTGCTTGAAGGGTAAGGTTGACCTCACTCTCATCGAAGACATACCTGAGACACATATTGAGGTGTGGAATGGTCAATGGCCAAGGAACACCCCATATATATATATATATATCCCTGGGATCACGAAACAACAAATAGCACATATTACCCGTGATCACTCCGAGGCGCATGGTCGATGGAATGGTGCAAATCAAAAACCTGCTGCAGGCAGAATTGGATATGCAGGGGCTCAAGTCAGGGCGGAAGTGATAGTTCATCCATGTGCCCCCAAGAGATTGGCCTTCATCTCCTTATAGGAACCCATCAAATCTGAAAGATAAATATCTAGCTGTCCTTCATACCTAGGACAAGCAACAACGAACAGTCAAAAGTTTCCTCAAATAAGAAGTCAGGCGCCATATAGCGTCAAAGGCACACTCGTGGCCTCATGTCCATGGACTGGGTGGCTTGGATAGTCCTTGAAGAGGTTCTGCCAGTATAGCAGCATCTTGTCAAACTGAGTCAAATACTTCAGGTGGCCCTGGTTGATCATCGCCGCTACCTGAAGATCAAGGGTTGCACGTATATCACCAGACAAATTCTTAGTAGAGAAGCTTGGGAAACAACACCAAAAGTTTGAGACAATAAAACATTTTTAAGTTTCTGTCAAAGTTCCAAATCAGCTGGAAGGAGAAATGGCCATGACAGAATCTCCACTTGGCCACTATTCTGGTCGGTGCACAGCGGCAACTCTTTGTAGGCCAGCTCCACATCCAAAGTGAGTCCTTCCCGCATAGCCGCCCGATGAACACTAAGCTCTTTTTTGCCAATCCTCACTTTCACACCCAAACCTGATGACAAAACTCCTTTTCATAACACACCTTCAAATTAGAACCCTTCAAAGAATACTTCAGAGCAAGTTCAAAAGTTTGACAAGTCTCCGGGCAAAGACTTCAGAGCCCATGATCTCGCCAACCTCGCAGGCGTGCTTAAGAGATGCTCCTCCAGATCCAACACCACGCGCAAGCCTCATGGACTCGTGGGCAGGGTTCGCTCGAGAGGTTTAAGTTACAGATGTGTATTTTTAAAGCAGGGGTTTCCTGGCTTCCCAACTGTTGATGGGGTCAACCCAACTATAGGAAAATGTTTCACTGAAGTCTCCAAAGAACACTTCATCAAGCCGCTGCCGCTTTTCGAGCCGTGGATCTTCCCATTGACCTGCGAGGGGAAGTTCAAGCGGTTTAAACTTTCAACCACAGAGGTTTGAAATTTGAGTGAGTTGGTGGCGGGTGGGAGTGGGTTTTATAGACATGAGATCTGGTGGTATGGTTTGCAACTGTGAGATCGAATAACATTTTATCAGAAAAGGGTATTCAGCTGTTGTCATTCATGGGACTCAAACACCCTGGTCTCCAAGCATAGCTAAGTCTCTTTTCCAGCTAGAGCAACCCATGGGTCAAGCTCCAACAAAAGGATGCTTCACCAGAATCCTTCACCTGCAGCCCCTCCCACAATTGCAGGCTGGGTCAAAAAAATTGGCGCATCTAAAGATGGTTCATGATGGTTCATTGCAACGTAGGCTACGGGGCCACAGCCAAAAAGATTCAACCCTGCATCCTACCATCTAGTGTATGGAGCCCTCAAACAAAAGCTCAGCCAGTCAGCCAGTCGAAGACTGGCTCGCAGTGCTCTGGCGCTTCATCTCAGAGAGAACCGCCTTGGCCTGGGCCTTCACAATCTTCATTTTCGATACCTGCAGCTCCATATATATATATATTTATAGCATTGTTCAGGTGGTTAACAACAAAATACATAAGAAAAGTTAGGTTTGTAAACAAAACAGGTTACATTGTCGGTCATCTCATCCTGCAACTCCTTCAATTGCTGCATGGTGCTCAGGCTCTTCAGCCTTACTTGTGGTGAAGAAACAAAAAGCAAGCCCCCTCTCAGCACCACTGACCCCAAAAGAGATCAAACATAGTTCTATAAGTAGACTGTAAAACCAAAACACTCCTCCAAAAACTCTTCATAGCGCTGCTTGAATTGCATCAGTGCCCCTCTGAGCTTGTCCTTCGCTGGGAGGTCCAAAGCCGCATTGTTGCATCCATTGATTTCCTTCTTCAATTGGCTGCCTCAGTATATTAGAGAGGGACAACCAAACAATTATACAGGCCAAGAAAGAAGGTGGAAGCTAAAGGGGAAAAATAAATGATGCATAATTGTAAGCTAAAGGCTAAGGGAAGACTTCAACTCATCAGCACTGGCAGGCTCTGCAGGCTGCACTGGAGCTGCTTTGGGCTTGGGCGTACGCTTGGCCTTTGCCTTTGGTTGCGGAGCTTGCCCACCTCAAGGGATCAATGGTGGATCATTCAAATCAAAAATATGCACTATGATATACATATGCAGACACATATGTACTCAAGGAGAGTTGCCCACCGCCACCCCAGCACACCTGACAAAGCTTGCTGCGCCCGGGACACAATATCTGCAGGGTTCGATCCAGCCGCAGGCCTGGGAGCAGGCGCAGCAGCATTGAAAGCAGGCGTAAAGGAAGCATTCAAGAGCTCGCTGACATTCTCTGGCGTGGTCTCCACATTCATGCGAGTCGTGGCACTTTGGGTGACCACCTCAGATGATGTCCGGCGGCGTT